TTGTTTTTTTTTTTTTTTTGTCAGGATAAGGTTTCAATTTCATTTACTATTTGCCGTGATCAGTTTGCCAGCATCTTCTCTCCACCTAACCTTTGAAGTGAGGGAAGTTAGTGGTGCTACATTTGCTTAAATCATATGGCTGAGAGACATTCTGTTGATCAACAGCAAAATCCTCAATCGCAGATGCAATCGCCTTCTTCAATGGCTGACATGATTGCCTGTGTGATGGCGCTAGAGGCTGCTTTGCTTCTCTGCTTGCCTGCAAGAGAGCTCCAGGCAATAGACCGTTCAGCTCATCCTTATCATCAGAGTGAGTAATTTTAGACCATACGGCAGATTTTTAACCCTTGAATCTATTCATTGTCTTTGAAGGATGAGTTTAGTACTATTAAATCAGTCAGGAAATCACAAAATAGCATTATTGTTACTTCTACACTCTATATACTAACTTGTGTTTGCCTTTTTTTGTTGCCAATTTACTTTAGGACCGCTGCTTTAGTCTTTATTGTTTTGTTTTCCGATAAGGTAGCTATTTAATGTTCTAAAGCTATGTGAGAACATTTTTCTTGAGACTTGAGGTCTTGCTGCATGAATACCCATTTCCCACTAGCACTGACATAATAATCTGCTGGATTGATGTGGGTTCTTCGAATATTACAATTTACAGAAGCTTCCTATTTTCAATCAGTCAACTAAGCTTATGTCTAAAACTAGTTGGGGTTGGCTGTGTGGATATATGATACAGGGTCTTTGAATATTGCAACTTACAGAAGCTACTTAGGTTCGATCAATCAATCAATCAACTATATGTTCCTAAACCAGTTGGGATTGGTTGTATGAATATCCATGTCTATTCTGATCTACTCCGTTCATTTCATTCTTGTACTCGATAATTCATCTTAAAAGACAACTTAATGTTTTAAAACTAGAGGCTTTTTAGATCTCACACTTTCTCTACACTGATATACAAATCTCTAATGAAACTAAAGATTCCTGGCAAACACGAGAGCTAATAAAAATGTTATAATAACAACTAAGCCTTTATCCCAACTATTAGCAGAGAAGGCTCTCTGTCACCTATGTAATGTTTCTTCAATCTACACTATATCACTCTTTTCCAAAGTTTCATCATATAACTCAGAAGTTTAATACTACTACCATAATTCGCACAATTCTTAGATCGATTGAGCAGCCCCCCCTTTTGTCTCTGTTTTTCGAATCTTCATTGTGTTTTCCTTTTGAAGTGAATTTGTTGAAATTCCTGGCGTTTAATATCCTCTAGAAATGGTAACAATTTCAGGTTCTGGTTGTTCCCTAATACTCGTGCAGGAATAAAGTCATTTTCCTTTTTTATTTTAGCCTTTTTTCTTTTCTTTTTTTTTTTCCATTTTTTTTTTTGAGCTTATATTCATGGTTTCTGAAATGTTCATTTTTTTTTACTTTTTCTGGATGAGATACAAATTTGCTGCTCCACAGTTGATGTTGAGAGACATGCCAGAGATTTCATGGAAGCAGCGAAAAAACTTCAACTTTATTTGATTGGGTTGCAACGCGAGGATCTGCCTTCCAAACCAGATATGCTTAGAAAGGTAAGATAGGATAACACTGATGATACTTATCCAGTAAGTAAAGAAAAGATAAAGATTTAATGATATGAGTTTCTAGAGGACCTCTAATGTTTCCCACTCATTTTTGTCATTGCTAATGGAGTATTGTGGATATGGATAGGAGATTGCAAAAATGGAAGAAGAGTTGAAAACAAAGACTGAGCTTATAACTAAGCAAGAGAGACTGCTTCAAAATTGGAGGAATGAGTTGAAGGACCAATTAGACAAACACAACATTGAGTTGGAAATGGTGTAAACTACTGCAGATCTGTATGATGTAAACTAGTATACAGAGTTTCTTTTTAGCGGGATAGTTTTGTAGCCATTTTTTGCTTCCTCCAGTAGAAGAAAAGGGGAACAATGTTAGTGTGATATAATCATCGGAAACATTAAGATGATTGTAAGTACCCGTGATTTCCAAAAAAAAAATCTGGATATGCCTTTGCGGATTTTAATTGGAGAGACCCATAAATTGCCATGTAGACTGAATTAGTTGCACCATGTACTTCTTAAGCTCAAAGTGTCTAGTTATGTCAGACTTCACGATAGCCTGAGCCATGTTTGCGAGATTAGGCCTTGCAGCCTCTACCACTGATCTCTCTTCATTTTTTGCCATCTCTATTGACTATGGCTGGACCACGATGCCCAACTCTTCAGTTTTTGCTCTCGCTTTGGCCTATCTCTTTAACTTATGGAAGAGTTTTCCAGGTTTAGGATTGTAAGGAGGAAGGTCGTTCAAGCTTCCACTTCTCTATAGCATTCAAGGTGAACACCTATAGATGTAAAATTCATAAATAATTAAAACTCGAACAGATAACGAATAAAATGTTATTTAGACAAATAGCTAATTTCAAAGTCTTTGGCATTGGCGCCAAAAAATTATTGGGGCCAATGCACACACAAGTATACACGGTCAACAAGTACGAAAGTATTGTTCCCACGATAACTTATGATTAATTATCGTCTAAGCTAAACTAGTGAGGAGTTAAATGTTCAAGTGATTTTGAGGGAGATGTAATTTTTATTGTTTAACTAAAATTACTAACAAGCAAATAAGATAACAAGAATGAAAATAGAGCAAACGAACAACGTAAGAGAAAATTTAATGAGATTGAGATATTCTGGGGTATTAACGTCTATCCTAGTGACTTTTTCGATTGATTTAACTGCTTGATCTATCTGGTTTTTTCATTAGTCGGGTTTATTTTGCTCGTGAAGTTCTTTCGACGCTTCGCCCGCCTGTTCAAGCCAAACTAACACTATATGTCTATAGAGCTAGAATACGAGAATGCATGTGTAATTCATGCGATATTGTCACGATCCAAAAACCGATCCGGTCGTGATGACGCTTATCGTGAAACTAGGCCAGCCGACACAACTTCCGAATCAACCATTTTCCAATAAAAATTGTTTTTATACCATTTAGAAACAATAATTCTCATAATGAAATTTAAAAGGAAAGCGCGGAATAATTACACAAGCCCGACATCGGGGTGTCACTAGTCATGAGCATCTACCAAGGTTTGAATACAACAAGAGTTTAAAAATGTACTAAATACAGTAATGAAAATGAGAGGAAGGAACGCAGTGCTACGAATGGCGTGCAGCCACCTTGCTAACTCCGACGACTCCGCCTCTGAGCAATCAACACCCGCTACCGGATTCCAAAATACCTGAATTTGCACACGAGATGCAGGGAGTAATTGAGTACTCCAACCCAGTAAGTAATAAGAATAAATAAAGATTGAGCAGTAAAAAAATACATCAACCACGTCATAGCACCACAGTGATTACAACATGTTCCTAAATCAGGATGCCATTCAAAATCATTTCGTTAAACTCCCAACTTCAGTAAAATCCTTTAAAAATTATCTTTCTAACCTTTTCAATATAGGTTTAATGAAATATATATATATAGTGAAAGTGGTGAAAATCATAATCGGTCCCTCGGGAGAAACATAGTTCGTATACAGCCCCTCGGCAAAACAGAAATTCACATCTATTTCATAACTTAAAAACTTCAATTTAAATGAAAGTTGTTTAAAGCATTTGTTCAACATTTTCAATAGAGGCTCGGTCTAAAGATGAGTGAAAGCAGTAATTAAATCAACATATTCGATAGAAACTCGCTTTAAGGAGGAGTGAAAATAAATAAGTTCATAAACAGGCCCCTCAGGCAAAGCATCACTCATGTACCTATATATCTATAGCCCCTCGGGCAAGCCTCTCAGCCACTCATGACTCAACTCTTACCGGTCAACGCTCACACTCAACACTCACACTGAATAGGTACCATATAGTAACCGCTACGGCGCGCATCCCGATCCAGATATCGCTGCGGCGTGCAACCCGATACATATATCTCGCCGACGGCGCTCACTTGAGGTGTGCAGACTCCGGAGGGGCTCCTACAGCGCAAGTGCTATATCACTGCAGCGTGCAGCCCTATATATATGCGGCGTGTTGCCCGATCCATAAATGTATAATCCTCACAACCAGGCCCTCGACCTCTCTCAGTCATTAACCTCACAATCAGACCCTTGGTCTATCTCAGTCATCAACCTCACAATCACTCGGGCCATCAGTAAATCAGGGAACTCAGCTCAAACAGTTTTCACATTTTAAGAAGTAAAGTGATAAAACCAGATTTAAACAATAAACAAGTAAAACATGACTAAGGATATGCTTTCAAAACAAATAGAGTGAGGAAAAATAGTGAAAATGCTCCTAAGAGTCTCAATAGGTCGGCACAAGGCCCCAAACGTGGCATACAACCCAAAAATTATATCAATCTCTAAAATATGAAATATCATAAGATCTCAAATCAATACGCGACTTAACAGTTGTACGGGACGAACCAGGTCACAATCCCCGACGGTGCATGACTTCACGCTCGTCATCTAGCATGTGCGTCACCTCAAAGTAGTACAACGATGTGAAATCCAAGGTTTCAAACCCTCAGGACAGTATTTACAATCATTACTTACCTCTATCCGGTCCAAACTCTAGCCCGCGATGCCTTTTCCCTCACGAATCGACCTCTGGATGCTCCAAATCTAGCCACAATCAGAGCATAACTATTAAAATATGCTAACGGAACAAAGCCCACTCGAAAATATCCAATTTACATCAACAATCCCGAAATTGCTCAAACACGGCCCCCGGGCCCACGACTCGGAATCCGACCAAAATTATATCAATAGAATCCTCACTCACTCACGAGTCTACCCATATCAAATTTATCAAATTCCGACCTCAATTGCCCATTCAAATCCCCAAAAGAAATCTCAAACTTTTCTTTCATTTTTTTTTTCCTAATTTTCACTCTAATTTTCCAAATTAAATGATGAAATTCAAGACCAAATCATGGAAATAAACGAAATATGAGAGAAGAATACTTACCCTAATAGTTCCACTGAAACTATCCTCAAATTTCACCTTCTCCCGAGCTCTCCAATGGTTTTTATGAAATTGGACATAAACCCCCGATTTTAAAATATAAATTGTCTGCCTAGATTTTCCTTCATCGCGAATGCGACACTTCCCTCGCGTTCGCGAAGCACAATGCCTCACAGACCGGAATTCCTTCTATGCGAACGCGAGACCCTTCTCGCGAATACGATGCATGAGTAGATCAAAACTTCGCGATCGCAACACCTACTACGCGAACGCGTAGAACAAATGCACTAGAGACCTATCTATCCTTCTTCCTCTATGTGAATGCGACCTACACCTCGCGGACGCGATTACCATAGGCCTCACACCTTCGCGATCGCGGAACAATCTTCGCGAACGCGAAGGCCAACTCCCCAGCCTCGCACCTTAACCCTTCGCGAAGGTGGGACATGCATCGCGAACCCGAAGGTCAAAACCCTGCAACACCAACAACAGAAATTCTGCAATTTTTCACAACATGAAATGGTCCGATTGACCACCCGAAACTCACCCGAGGCCCTCAACCAAACATGCCAACATATCCCATAACATCATTAAAACTTATTCCAACCTTCGAAATGCTCAAAACAACATTAAAGCACCAAATTTGCATCGAATTCAAGCCTAAGAATTCCAAGAACTTCTAAATTACGCTTTTGATAAAAAACCCAACCAAACCATGTTTGAATGACCTAAATTTTGCACACACATCCCAAATGACACAACGGAACTACTGCAACTCTCGGAATTTCATTCCGACCCCTATATCAAAATCTCACCTATCAACCAGAAAACGCCAAGATCTCAATTTCGCAAATTCAAGACTAAACTTTCCACAGACCTCCAAAATACATTCCGATCATGCTCCTAAGTCCCAAATTACCTGACGGAGCTAACCAAGTCATAAAAATTCCAATCCAAGAACATATACAAACAAGTCAAAAACTTGGTCAAACCTTTCAAATTTCAAGTCTCAAACTGAGAATTGTTCTTCCAAATTCATTCCGATTACCCTGAGAACCAAAATCAACGATTTACATAAGTCATAATACCTCATACGGGGCTAGTCATGCCCGGGAATTGGCGAGTAAAGTGCAAAAGCTCAAAACGACCGGTCGGGTCATTACATCCTCCCCCACTTAAACATACGTTCGTCCTCGAACGTGCCCAGAGTTGTTCCAAATGCCAACCAATCGCTGACTAACCTTACCATGCACATACCCGGGGGCGATCCCACGTCACTCTATCTCATATAGGTCCGATAACACATTGTAACTGAAATTTCACAATCCAACCTAGCCCATAAGCCTTAGAACCACATTTCCACTTCCGAAATCATCCACAAGATCAAATTCTCACACCTATACTCTGAATAATCCCGAACAACTATAATAACCCATACCTGCAACCTCAGGTGTGATTACATGATATACCACATAACTCAAACACTTGTAGCGATAACTTATAATAACAGTAGGTGCACACAACAACCGAATATCGATAGAAAACCTCTTATCAACTAAAGTCTCATTCCAACACTTTCATATACTGCCAATGATAAATGAAACACACAATAAGCCATAACCATTTCTCATATCAACCATTCATGAAGCCACTTCTCCTTTTGGCAAAGACCATAGCAAATTTCTACGCCGAACCTCGATATTATCCTTCCAACATGCTGCAATTGAATCCGTTTGTATGCATTAAAGATCCCAACGATCTCATATACTCCAACACAACTACTCTGGTGACATGATACCTCAATACAAACTAAAGCCACAACTTGCACAATCCGCGCACCAATAAGCAAAAATGCGAACATACTCAAATCATGCAAATGACTCAAATGGAAGAGCTGTACCGCAAGCTCACTAGTACCACCACACACAATGCTGAGAACCCATCACATATCATAGAAACAAAACACACGAATCTAAACCACAGTGTCATACCCCTATATAGCTTTGCTCCAATGCGTGACCTCATCCAAACACTGGTTTACATGAAACACCTTAAGTCACTATGCTCAGAATCGACAACCGTG